CCAACATTTAAAGTCCACAACTTTTTTTGTGTGTGAATTCATGGTTTGTTCATTTACTCAACAACCCAGGAACAGGGTTAAATGGAAATGTAAAACAATTAATTCATAGTGGAAGGATGGAAATGTAAGTATGTACAGTCATTTCTCCATGTCTGTGGGTTCTGCATCTGTGGATTTGACCAACTGCAGATAAAAAATTTCAGAAAAAAAGGATGATTTTATCTATACTGAACATGTACAGACTTTTTTTATTGTCATTATTCCCTAAACAATACAATATAATGACTATTTACATAGCATTTATATTATATATGCTATTACAAATAATCCAGAGATGATTTAAAGTATATGGGAAGATGTCCACAGGTTATATGCAAATACTACATCAATTTATATATGGGACTTGAGCATCTGTAGACTTTGGTATCTGAGAGGAGGTCCTGGAATGAATCCCCCATGGATACTGAGGGACAACTGCGCATTAAAAAGGATGTTAAAGTTGGGTGTGGTGACTCATGCCTCTAATCCTAGCACTTTGGGAGGCCAAGGCAAGGGGATTGCTTGAGGCCAAGAGTTCAAGACCAACCTGGCCAACGTCGCAAGATGCCATCTCTAGTTTTTTTTTTAATTACACACACACAAAAAGATGTTAACTGTAATTATAGAAATAGGTTCATAGTATTATGAGCCTAAAGGAAAGAGTGTCAGGAAAGACTTGCTGAGGAAATAATAACCCAATTGTACTTTTACTGATGAATGGAAGTTGTGCAGAAAGTGGAACCAAGGGTAAGAAAGTTGAATTCCAGAGAGAAAGAAAAGCAGTGTGAAAAGCTGATTAGCATGGGGACTTACAAAGTGTTAAGCATTGCATGTATACAGCCATGTGTTACTCATCAACGAGGATATGTTCTGGGAAATTTTTTGTTAGGCAATTTCCTTACGTGAACATCCTAAAGTATATTTACACCAACCTAGATCGTATAGCCCACTACACACCTAGGCTATGTCATATAACCTAGAGGCTACAAATGTGTACAACATGTTTCTGTGCTGAATAATGTAGGCAATTGTTACATAATAGTAAGTATTTATGTATCTAAACATATCTAAACATAAGGTACAGTAAAAATATAGTATAAAGGATAAAAAATGGTATACTTGTAGAAGACACTGAGCATGACTGGAACTTACAGGGCTGGAAATTGCCCTGGGTGAGTCAGTGAGTAAATGGTGAGTGAATGTGAAGGCCTGGGACGTTACTGTATCCTACTGTAGACTTTATAAATACTCTACACTTAGTGAAAGTACATTTATTTTAAAATTTCCTTTGTTCAATAATAAATTAGCCATAGCTTACTGTAACTTTTTAACTTTACATAAACTGCTAAAATGTTAAACAACTTTTTGTCTCTTTTCATCGTAATACTTAGCTTTGAACACAAACATGCTGTACAGCTGTACATTTTTTTCTTTACATTCTTACTCTATAAGGTTTTTTCTGTTTTTTAGATTTTTTTTTTACTTGTTAAACTCTTTTGTTAAAATATAGACACACACACTCACTTGCCTAGGCCTACACAGGGTCAGGAGTATCCATATTACTGCTTTCCACCTCCACATCAAGTCCCACTGGAAGGTCTTCAGGGCAGTAGCATGCATGAAGCTGTCATCTCTTATGACAACAATGCCTTCTCCTGAAATACCTCCTGAAGGACCTGCCTGAGGCTGTTTTACAAGTAACTTTGTTTTTTTTTTTTTTTTTTTAGTAAGTAGAAGGAGTACACTCTAAAATAATGATTAAAAAGTATACTAAATACATAAACCAGTAATGTAGTCATCTATTATCATTATCAGTACAACATGTTGTACATAATTGAATGTGCTATACTTTTATATGACTGGCAGTGCAATGTGTTTGTTTACACCAGCATCATCAAAAACATGTGAGTAATACATTGCACTATGACGTCACTAGGTGATAGGAATTTTTCAGCTCCATTATAATTTTACAGGACCAGTGTCGTATTTGTGACCTGTTGTTGACTGACATGTTGCTACACGATGCATGATGGTTTAAGATACAAGGCTGAGGTTGAAGGGAAAGGCCGGGTCAGCTCAGAGAAGGCCGGGTCTGGACACTCGGATTAAGAGACCTGGTATCCTGTAGCATGTGTGGAGCCATTGAAAGGGATGGATGGTGAACTTGGCCAGATTTGTCTTCAGGGATACACGCAGTTTTATTATTCTACAGAAACCCCTTTTCAGGAAAACATGAATTAGCTGTATAATTATGTTGTTTCTCCTTAATACTAAATGCTATACCTTTGTGTGTGTGAAAGTTAAAGGCAAGAAATGAGCCCTATGATTTATTTCCTTTCCTGCTCCAAAGTGTTACTTAGGTGTTACTACATCAGAAGCATTTGGCAGATTGGTGATGAAATAATTTTTGAATTTATTCCAGTTGCTATGCAAGTTTTCTTACCTGGTAGCCTCTTAGAAATTATATATTTCTTTTGAAATGTATCATTTTACCTACTCAGGTTTTATATGTGGTATTTTTCTCCCTAATACATTCTACTTCGTGTATATATACTTTTAGCTTAACCGTATTTTAAAAAATCAAATGACTATCCTCTTTTTCTTATTTCTACTTCCTAAATTCTACATTTTTCTTTATTCTATATTCTATAGCATCTACTTCCTTATTACAAAAGCCAAACCAAACCAAACAAAGAAAATGTTTAAGCCTATCTTGACTGACTTACACTACACATTATGACTACCCACACATTGCAGATTTCCTAAAGCCATTTTATTATTGGACATATTTTGAGGGAAGAAAATGGCGAATGAAGGCAGGTTAGCTTTCTTTTCTTCCAAAATATACACATGAATGCATTTATATTATGTTTACAGTTGCAAGGATTTTATAAGTTTTTAAAAACAGAATATGAAAAACATTTTATCATTCAAGTCAGTGAAATATTTTTCACCGCAGGCCTTAGTTAAGAAAAGAGCTGGCGTAAGAGATGGAAATCTGGAGTTTGAATTGGGTTTTGCCTGTAATTCTGGGAGTCCTTCAATAAGTCCTCTCACTTCCCTAGTCCATTGCGTGTAAATGAGAGGTGGAAGTAGGCACTGATAAAAGAATATTCTAGATTCGGTTATTTATGATCTGGTACAGAGCATAGGAATCAAGGAAAACTTCTGGTAATGCATTGCTATTATGTTTAACCCATGGTTTAAAATTTTGTTTAGATTACCTTTTAGATACAATTTACAACCAGACATATTTTCTGTGCAGTTAGATGAGGTTTGACAAATATGACCCATATAATTCATAAAACCCCCAGCTTCCCTATGTTCCTCTCTAGGCAATCCCCACTCCTTGCTCCAGAAAAACCACTGTGATTTCTATGATGATGATTAGTTTTCCTTGTTCTGCAACATCACAGAATTTTAGAGTATGTATTCTTTTGCATCTAGCTTGTTTTACTTGGCCAGGATGTTTTTAAGATCTGGCAATGTGATTGCATTTATCACAGTTCATTTCTTTTTATCTTTGACTAGGATTCCTTTGAGTGCACACACACATGAAAACACACACACACACACACATACACACACAGGTATATATTTCATAATTTGTTTATTTGTTCATCAGTGATGGACATTTGATTTGTTTTCAGCTTAGAGCTAATATTATAAATAAAGCTGTGATACACATTCCTAAGCAGTTCTTTTTGTGGAGATATGTTTTCACTTGTAGTAAATATCTAGGAGTGGAAATGCTGTGCTATGGTGTCCATTTAACTTTATTAGAAACTTCCAAACATTTTTTTTTCTGATGAGGCTGTGTCATTTTATACCCTCCCAGCAACATATGTGATTTTCAGTTGCTGCGTATCTTCCTCAGCATTTATTGTTGTCAGTCTTATGAATTTTAGCTTCTCTTATGTGTGTGAAGAACTGAAAATTTTCTTTAATTTGGAACTGAAATAGAAATTCTAAAAATTATGGAATACATGTTATAATTTAGGGATATCAGAATTAGCATATTCCTTATTGAATAATGAAAATCTTAAGAGTGTTGCCTTATATTTTTTCATCTGTATAATCTTTAATCAGTTACATTTGTTTATGACAACCATTGATGTTTTTATAGGGACTGTAAAGATAATATGTTTGTGTGTGTAGGCATATTTATTCAGGTCTCAAGTTTTTTGTTTGTTTCAGTGTTATAAAACAGTTTATCTTCTTTCATGATCTCCCATATCTCTTAAAAATCAGGCTTTTATTACATCTGATAGTTGAAATCCAAATTTTTAAAAACTCAAAAAATCCCAACATTTTGGATTTTTAAAAAATGTGTTAAGAGACTACAAAGTCCAGCCATGGACTTTACATGTTAAAGTCTTCTCTATAAAAATATATTTATGGGTGATAATCAGACCTGTGATAAATATAAATTTTATATCATAGTCTCTCCAATTATTTCTGAAAGTGAGGGAATAATATTATGTAACCTAGCTAGTGTTCTATAATACTGGGTAAGAGAACAAAATGGTAATTACTGTAATGGTCATAGAAAACTTAGGTAGTGAGCCTGTTGACTAAATGTGTAATCAAAACTCACCCCAGTATTCACATGGTACCTTTTTTGCATTTTGTAATGGATGCTTGTGGATCTTTATGTACTATTGCCTTTAGAGATAACAAATTTCCACAGACTTGGAAAGCAATAAAATACATTTAACACTAAATCTTTACTGAGCATAGTTTAATCTTTCTCTGATACAGAAAGCACTTTCTAATTTTATAGCTCTGCAGACTCATTATTGCGAATGCCAGTTATTTTATTGGCTAAGAGTAGAAGCAATGGTGAATCAAAAGGATGTGCTAATAGAATCTTAGATTGAGGGAAGTTAATGTGTGTTTACCCATATGCATCTCTGTGTTTTAAGATATATGTAATTGTTTTCCATTTCTATTTCTCCTAGGTTTTTTCCCCAACCCTTCTCCACTCTTTCTGAATATATACACCACTCTCTTGAGTTTCCTTACCTAAAATACAATTTCAGCTTTTCTCTATATGAAAGCGATGACAAAGTGATTTTACAGCCAGTTCTGAAAGTGACTAAACTTGACAACAATTGTATTTTATGACAACCTCTGCTTTCATGTCCCCGGCCTACTTTTACATCTTTTTTTTTTTTTACCCCAAATATGAACAATTTCATATCTCTTCATTGGCTGAAAACAAATCCCCTTACCAGGAATACATTTTAATGGAAGAGAGCCTGCTTCACATACGTCACCAGAGCCTTCACATCTTAACTCTGTAATATTCAATTTCTCACTCACTGAGAACCAAAGCCTTGTTTTTTGTAGTTTTATTTTTGTTTTGTTTTTGTGTGGTTTGTGTTCATAAAGGTTGGGGAAGAATTAGTATTATGGAACTAAACCAGATTAAGGGGGAATGTGAATTAGATTTGGTAACAGATGGTGCTGTGGAAATTAAAGGTTCTTTGCGAATGGAAGCGACAGCAGCTTGCCTCTGTTCTCTCTGTCTCTCGTTCGTGCACTTGATAGACGGGTATAAATCACAACAATCCTGTCTTGACAGCCAATTTCGAGAATTTGATCTGGTTAAAGACATGGCTTTCCCGCTCCACTCACCGAAACCTGCTTCTATTTTATTTTTACACAGCACCTTGTCATATTTAGAAAAGCAGGCTCGCCTGCTTCCTCTTAATGAAATTTTTTCTTAATTACAGTTTTAGCTCTTTAGTGTTAATTACTTTTTCATTCAGCCTGAATTTTCGTTATATCTCTCAGGGATTATTTTTTCTTTTTTTCTCACCCTTTTCACTCACGTATATTCTTTCGTTTTTTTTCCAAAGATCCTTTTCATTATCAGAAGTTGTTGTCAGAGGCACTATTTGAGACTCCTAATTACCAAAGTTATTTTTTTTTTAGGGAGAAAGACTTTCAGATGATGTAGTAAAGTTACCAAATCAGAAAAAATTTTTAAAGTGCCAGAAGCAATCACCAAAACTAGCACTGATTTCAACAAAATTTCACAAAAAGGTGAATGACAACACTTATTTTCACCTAGTAAGGGCTGCAGAAATATCTGTTCTGTTGGCTAAAATAAATTCCACCATGTAAAAAGACATGGCCACCGTGTGGCAGAACCACTTCATGCCTGTGTTGACCTTGGGGTGGTCTAGGGATTCCGAATTAAAATGCAATCTTCAGATGTAGGAGACGCTCCATGAGAGACCAGGAACACTGAACAAACTGCATGGATCCCTTGCATCCAGATTCTCAGATCTGACAAGCTTAGGGGCCAAGTACTAAGGTTGCCTCTGACAAATCCACATGGCATTTGGGCTTCCAACATATCAAGGAACGGGAAATAGAAGAGAGGGAAAAAATCACTCCAAAAATGAAGAGAAGATTCTTTGAGCAAGCAACTAACAGTTGGTAGAAATGAAGCTTCCTACTGGCAGTCAAATCAAATGTAGTAACAACTCAACAGCTCCCCGCTGCTTGCTGACAGCGTGGTGTCACACACTGGGACAAACATTCACTTAGACACTGATTGCAGGGAAGTGCCCTTCCGCCAACACCTCCCACCAAAAACGTAATGAGCAAAAAGAGAACCATTTCTAGGAAAAAACCAAGAGTCCCATTCCCCAGCTCCCCTAAAATGATAACGTTTCTGTTTGTCTTTTTGTAGCCCACTGGGAGTGAGTGTTCAGTTGAATGTGGTTGCTGCAGTTTCCTTGTTATGTAGCAAGTTGTTTAATTACTTATTCTCCTGCTACACACACACAGACATATACACAACACACACACACACACACACACACACACACACGGGCCCTGGCATGCCCCTGAATGGTGACTCAGTGCAGTGGCAGCAAAGGAAATGGAAATTTGGGAGTTTAAAGAGTACTCCTTGGTGCAATAGTCCTTGCTCTCAAGGTCTAATCAGACTCACAAGGCAGTGTGTTTTTTATTTGAGTAGAATATATGCTTTTTAAAAATGGCCGGAGTTCTTTAAGAAGCATATAGGCAAATACTCTCATTTTATAAATGAGAAAACTGAGAGTCAGTGTGGTACAATGACTTGGCTCCAGTTACACAGTGCCTGGATCCAGAGCTAGAACCCATGTCTAGTGCTCTGTCAAATACTGCAGGAAGTCAGGGCTCCCTGGGAAAGGAGAGGAGAAGAAAAGCAAGCAGCAGAGACTCTGGTATAGTCCCTTTTTTTTCAGCTGATTTTTTAGAATGGCAAATTATATTTAGACATTTTTCTCTGCATGTTTGTATTTGGACTTTTGAATGTGACAAATGACAAGCAGATCCTGATTTGAACTCTTGGCTTTTCAGTGGCTTCTACTGGCTTCACTGAATGCTATCTTGCTGCTGAATAATCCTTTAAAAAAAAAAAAAAAAAAACCTGTCATGCTACAAAATAAATCCTTAGTCATTTCCATGGCTTGAATTAAATATATGTGCAGATATATGTTATTTTCCCTTGCCTGCAAATAGTGGCTTGTGTGTTTTAGCTTTACTTTCTCTTCAAGTAACTAGCTCAATGAAATGTTTATTTAAAAAGAGGATAGAGGAGGAATTTTTAGGATTAATAATTAGCTGAGTTCCCCTCCTCCCTGCCTCCCCACTACTCTTCTACTTCAGCTGGACAACACCTGATACCAACAATATAATGTCAACTCTGCTATAGATCGCCCAAGACCAGCTGCATTTACATCCAGATGTTAACTACTGCAGACTAAGCTATTAAGGTAAAAATATAAATATAGTTTAACTGCTACCAACAGATGGAGTTTATTATCTCTGATTGTACTGCAAATCTCCATCTAACACAGAAATTTTCATATGTGCTTGAAGCAACCTTTATTTCAACAATGATTTCCTAGCATTTAGATTTGCTCAACACTGTGATTCACTCAGTTGCAGAGTACCTTTTAGAGTTCCACTCTTGGTGAACTGACCTATGTCTGTGGAGGCAGCTGGTTTATTGGTCACTGTAATTGCTTTTGCAAAACATTTTCTTAATGAGTAAAGAATGACATCAATACTATGATCTCCATATCCTTATATCAACTTCTGATAGCATTTGCATTTCCTGTTTCAGTATAGCAGAGAATAGGAAAGGGACATTCCGGAAGCCTGAGCTTTCATTGACCTCGATTTGATTTGTGAACTCCATCACTGGAGTGTCTGTGAGTAAAGCATCTATATTCAATCGTAATTTGTAAAGATCAGTGCATAGACTTTCTATGAGTTGAATGTCTGTTTATTTCTTCTCTAGCACGGTGCTGTGGGAAGGTCTTCATTTAGCTGTCAGTCCCCTTCTGTTGTGTCGAGTTCTCTTCGGTGAGCTCCTTGAGTGCTTGAAAACAGAATTGTCTGAATACAAGCAAACTTTATTGATCCATATTTCTGTTTGAAAGACCAGAGATTTGTAGAAGTAGGAGACTATTGCTTTCCCCTAGAAAGCTTACTGCAGAGGAGGTCTGCTCATGGCATAGTAAATCTCTAACACCGAATAAATGTTACATTCAGCATATATTGTAAGCTTCATTTTAATGATTTATCTTGGGTACTTTTTTTTTTTTTTTTTTTTAATGTCATAGAAACCTTTCGTTTTAGTAGTGGTCCCTACCCATTGCCTAGAGCTATTAGACTCTACCCTGGGCATAGTGACCTGGTCAATACTGGGACATCTACTGCCCAAATGGTTGACTGTAGCACACTGTTCGAAAGCCCTGCTGTCTTTAGGCTTTTGGTTCACAGAAGAGTAACTTGTGTAAAGTAAGAAATATTTTCAGGGATCGGAGACAAAATGCTTGTTTTTCCATCTGCTGTGCATCTTTGTTTCTGTCTAGGAGGTTTTCGAGATTCTCTCTTCGGATCCATTGGCGTCATGTAGTTGAGCAGTTGTGAGGATATAGTTAATTAAGCTGCATTAGGGCAAATATACACACTTGTTAAAACACTTAATTTGCCTCAATAATATTGATTACATGGCAGAAGTTTGTTTAAACTAAATGATATTTCCCCCCTACTGTTACAGTTTTTGAATGCAATCTGTATAATAGCTAATAGCCATCATCAGTTAAATATCATGTTAGTTATAAAGTAATGTCATAAGAATTGATTTGGACTTGGCAGTGGAGGAGAGCTCTCCCTTCAAAGCCGATGTAGATGATTAGCCAGAGTTTTAAGCAGAATCATGGTTCATATAAACTGTGTATATTTTATAGACTTATAACTGCTCTATATTACATGAGTGCCCATTATATTAAAGAAAAGCTCAGACAGTTAATTATGCAAAACATCATGTATGCAATTACTCGGCATTATTATGCATTTAACAGTTTTATTGATTTGTCAGTAGCTCACTTACTGTATTTAGAGCCATAAACAAGAGATGCTCACCCCCAGATTGAAATAGGTCCAAGAAAACAAGCTAAGGATAAATTGCACTACTAAGCGCGTCTGCATCAGATCGAATCCTTAAACACAGAAACTGTCAACAATCATAATGTGCAACACATTGTGATATCACAGGACCATTTCTTTTCCCATTAATAAAGTTTATCAACCAGGAAGCTTAAGAAATCACCTGGCAATACAAATGGAAGCAACCGCAATTTCCTACATCTAAAATAGTCTGGATGACTTAAGGAAATCAGCAGTCACTTCCAGCTTGCATAGCATAGTAAAATGGGATGCTGCTGTGTCCACAGACACTTACACCACATACAAACTTACAATGCCCCTAGTCCCCATTAGTTTAGTCGATCTTATTAGTGCATTTCTCTTGCCATTTTTCTGGACTTCCATTGCAAGGAATGAATTGTCTCTATTTCCAAATCCCTTAGATTTCGCAGGAGTGAAGACATAGGATTCTATCGGTATCTTTATATGTCAGATTGAGTGACAAACCATCTTGGTTTACTTGGGATTTAGGGGTATCCAGGACATGGGATTTTACTGCTAAAACCAGGATAGTTGACCAACCTAATATTAGAAAAAAATTAAATAAGAAAGGACCATTGAACTCTACAACCCTAAAAGCAGATAGGGTTTCGGTGAGGTCCTGCTGTTAAGAGTTTGGTCAGTAGGTATGACATTATAATGCATGGGACACTTTTATTTCAATGATCAGCCAGAAATGAGTTGAAGGTCTTGGTTACTTGTACTGAATTTCCTTTTTGCTTGCAGCAGAGAGCTTTTTACAGAGTTGGGAGAGCTTTCAGCTCTGATTTTTCTTTTTAGGGGGCTGGCTCCATGTCTCCACATTACATAGCTCTATCTCTTGTCAGCAACTCAGGCACCAGCTTTGAGGGCAGCTGTTTTATTATTCTTGTTCTTCATGGAGTAAGCTAGAGAGAGGCTTTTGGACTAAATGCACAAGTTATTTGTTCAAAGAATCAAGAAGCAGCATTACTAAATCTAAGTCATTGTGATCCTGATATACAGAAATCCATTCTATGAGATAGGGCTCAATGCTTGTTAAAGCAGGCCTTAAAATTGTACAGAAGCATGTGTGCATAAGTTGCCCATGTGTTTTTATCTTTCTGAGCGTGTGGACCAGGATTCACAATTCTTCCTTTACAATTAATGATCTCCTTCCGTTAGGTTAACCAGGCAGACCTTAAGATATTTCCTATTAAAAGAAAAAATCCTTTCTCTTCTTTTCCCAACTAAGCCAGTGTACCTTAATGCAATGATGATATGTTAGACCCAGCAGTTGTCAAAGCATCGTATTACTGTGATGCCATAATGACACCCTGTCTCTGTAAAGTAGTCATGTTTTCTCAAATCACACGTTGCACCGTTGATTTCTGACATGACACTTCATTCGGTTGCTTTCCCTTTCTTCAGCATCACCATTCTCTGACAATAGCAGCTGGTGCCCATTTTGTTACTAAGTGATTCACATTTTGCCACTTTACGAGAGTGCAATTAGTTGAAGCAGGGGGAAAAAAAGCTCATTGTAAAGTAGCGTGCTTGAAGTTGTAACTCAGGCTGCCATGGGAGCTGCTGGGGTCATGGGCTCTGAAGCCTGTACCTCTGGGAGCTACAGCATTAGTCTAGAGGTTTTCTTCTAAAAGCATAAACACACACACACACACACACACACACACACAAATACACACTATAGGTTATTAAGAGCTTTTTATTTTTTAAAACACAAATACTTAAATATTTAATCTGGTAATTTCAGAACGTAGAAAATCAACCAATCACCATAGATTCATTTTTGTTTTGAATCAGTAGTGATTTTGATAACCTTCTTTTCCGTCCCTGAAATTCTGTGATTCCGATGAATCACACAGAGGAGCTGGGGACTCTTCTTATCTCTGTATTTGTATGTAAACTTGGAGGTTTGCTGCATTGTGTCCTTATACAAAAATATTGGAAATAAATTTTTAAAGCATGTGGAATTTATAATGATGATGATTACCTTTCCAGGCCCTTAAGGATGACAAAGAAGTAAAGCAAATATGTTGACTTCTATAGTTGACATTTCTTTAGCCTACCAAAGGGTTTATTATTGGTATAGATATAGTAAAAGTGGCAGAAGATCTTGCCTTAGTATAACAAACGAGAAGATCTAAGATGATCTGTACACACATTCCTTAGGAGAATTTTATGCAGTCATTTTCCCATTTATTTCTCCATTTGTTTTAGGGGGGAAATACAGTAGCAAATGAATTCAAGATCTGTGTAAAATTCACATGATGAAATACAGCTGCTTGTTAAGAACTTGTATTTCGGTGAAAGGGTTAATAATGCATAACCCTATGGAACATTATTGTTATGCCAGTGTTTAACAAATGAAAGTACTGGCTGAGCTTCAGACCTTCCACTGAAATGTAGAGCCCTTTGAACATCAGCACGTGCATGTGGAGATTCAAACTCCTGACAGTTCATTCACGATCACACATTTACCTGGATGTAGGTAGAATCTTCGAAAACAATTATTAATCCAAAAATAATTACAATATAAATTGAACATTAACTTACAGATTATCCTTTTTTCCCCTACAGCAGCAACTTTAATTGATTCTTATTCTTTCTTTCTCTCAGTCTGTGTACACACATATACACACCATTAATGAACTTTCAAAAATTACATCTTTAAATAGTCAAACAACTAAGACATTTTGTTTGGCCGATTGTTAGTATCTAACACCAAAGATAATTTTTACCCTTGCTGACTCTAAGCAGGGCTAGGAAACGACTTCTTAGGTTGAAGTATGATCATCAGAATTATTTGATGCTGTATCTCAAACTGTGTTGAAATGCTTTTTAAAGCCCTGAAATTTCAGGTAGGCTGTTAAATTCCTCAAACCTAGTGTCTCGTATAGAAACTAAAGGTTATTCTTGACATTGTTATTTCCCCCTCCAGTTTATTCTCAGGGGGTTCATTCAGAGGTTTTGGGAAGGGAGCTACCTGGTCCTACTCCCTGTTCATCTCACCATTTCTCTTAAAATAATGATAGTAACCATACTAAGGCTTTAAAATAAATATTTCCCACATATTTCAACACATGTTATTTCTATTCATAATTCTTAACTAAATTTAGATTTTTATTAATCCAATGTGACTTAAAATTTCTGCATTAACAGCACAATGTGGAATTGGGCTTATTCTCTTTGGCTACAGATAAAGCCATCATTTTGAAAGTGGCTCTTTCTGACAAAAAGGTGTTCTTTTGAAATAAAGTCCTATTCACTACATTCCTCTTAGAGTTAATGTGAATTTTAGTGCCTCTAATTTTAGATTGAAGTGAAGTCTAGAATAAAACCCACCAGCTGACAATTGAATTTATAGATAGTTGTGAATATTTCAGGCTTGAATAATAGAGCTGTAGAATTTCAGAGACAGAGAGGCAGAGAATTAAGACTCGCTGTAGTTTTAGGTTATAATATAATAGTGTCTAGGAAGTGTTCAGTGTAATGAGCTAAGTAGTAATTAGGAGACAACTGTGTTCTTTCAGGGATTCTGTTTAGGCATCACTGCAAACCCTGGGTGGGTGATGCAGTAGGGCAGACCTGCAGCCAGCGCAGTGGCTCCTTCAGCCCTTTTCCACTTATACATGGGCTGTGGATGTAATTGCTGAGAAATAAAACCAGTAGATCTCTGCGTGCCACCTCTAACTTGCTTGCTTGCTTATTTATTAAAATGGAGTAAATAAACACCATGAAAAACTCTGTTGTCCTCGAGACATCTCTGCTCTGGACCTTGGAGTCAGGCCTGAGTTCAGATTCAGGCTGCCCTGCTTCCTAGCTGTACGACCCTCAGCAAATTTTGAAAGGTCTGAGGCTCGGTTTCATAAAGAGAAATATCTCCCTTACAAAGTTATCTTGGGGATTCACTGAGGGGTAATATTTGTAAGGTGCTCAGCTCAGTGCCTGGCACATAATAAGCACTTGATAAATGGCAATTCTGACTTTTATTATTTCCACGGGGCAAAAGATATTAATTAAGGAAACACTTCGTGGCAGGGCAAAAACATGCATAACCTGCAGCACAAACCCAGTGGGTTCACTTTCATTTATGGCTCCAGTGGCCAGACCTTGTTTAGGAGAAGATATTTCTTCTGTTTCAAGGACCTCTCTGGCAGCTCGTGCCTCCTGAATTTCCTTGTTTTATCCAGCCTACTGCCAAGTTATGGTGTGAGATTTTGGATGCGACAACTTGCTGGAGAGTCCCTATTTTTCAGGGACTTTAACAACATGCATTTGACACATAAATATTTGATGGTTTAGCAAATAACTGATCCGTAAATGGGAGGGCAATTTCTGGCCTTGTTCTTTAAATCAAGAGTTCTGCAAATTTTACAAGTCCATGAAGAAGAGCCTGAATAAAAGAAACCTGGGGTGGAAGTGACCATGGAAGATACAGGAAAAGAGAGAGAGGAAAAAAGAATTTTTAAAAAGAGGGCCTGAAGATCAAGCAGCCCCAAGCAAAAATTAAATAAAAAATTAAATAAAGAAATGGTGCCTTGTAGGCAGATGGTGAAAGAGTTAATTGTCATAGCTGTGAGAAATTCAGTGCTGGAGAGAGGAAAGGGGAGCAAGCATGGTTTAGTACCCTAATAACTTCTAACTCTAGTCTAAGATCATAATGTATGTGCGCGCAGTCCAGTAATTATAAGGTAATAAGTGAAGTGGTGGTGTAAGTGCTCTAAATTAAAAGGAATTCACAGGGCTGCTGTAAGTCAGTGCCGACCCGCTTTCTTTCAAACGTTGACTTGAGGAAAGTGCTTAGCCCAGAGTGCTAAGGAGACAAGGAGAGCGATCTATTAATTACAACGTTCATTAACAGTGACGGGTACAAGGCAGCAGATGCAGAAGAGAGAGGACGCCGTAGTTCAGGCTGGCGAGGGGGATATTTTTTTCTTTCACTAGTTCTTGAGGAAAGGACAACACAAGTGGGTGGACGAAAGCACGAAGATATTTTGGTGGCTTTCTCCTTCCTATTTGCTTTCTTCACATCCTGATACTGCTTGACTTTAGAAAGCTGTGCAAGATTTCTCAAAGTGAAATATCTTTGGTAAGAGGCAAACCTTGCCTCAATGCTTTGCTCCTGAGACCGCCTTCTTGGAACATTTAAGTGAAACTTCCTGCCAGAAAAGTTCCATATTTTTCTTCATTTTAAAGTAACCGAACAATGGAGTACCTGGAGGAGAGCATGAAATTTGTGCAATGATAAAAAATCATTAGATTTATAGTGAAAGAGATAACTGCATCCCTTTGGTTATCCTGTGACGAGTCCCCCAAATTCTAGTGAATGACCATTACCCAGAGGGATTCCCATAAATCAACTTTCCACTGGGAAGCAATTATCTAAGTCCCTTTCTTGACTGTCACCTCTTCTTTCTACAGTGAGTTCTCGGAAGCTTCTTAGAGATTTTGCTAAACAAGATTTTGCACAATGGCTAAATAAAAAGAAAATAGGACCAATTATATCTTTTCATCTAATTACCTTTCCAGAAATTCAGTCGCTTGTGAGACCAACAAAGAAAGAGGGATGAAGTGTTTCTTCCAGATAAGAGAAACAGTGTGCCAGATTACATGCTTCATCATTTTTCCTTTTAGGAGGTATAATGTTAAATGACAAAAAGAAGTGGGGGAAGGACCATCACAAGTATATTTTTTAGGACAAAATTTGATACATTTCTACTTTACTGAATATAAATATAACATCAGATTTTATAACATCAGATAATATAATATCAGATTTGTGAACTCACAGGTATACTGAAGGCTCAAATGGCTTTTACTGATTCATCTCTTAAATAATGGCATATGTGAATGTGCATGAACACATGCACGCATTTATTAATGAATGCTAGTGATCAGTCACTAAGTTTTGCAGGCTCTAGGAAATAATCTTTAAATATTGGCTTTAATTTTATACTTGATGTCTTTCTATATTGCCAAATGGCTATGAAATAGAGCAATTTAAATAAAGAAACAAAGTGATTGAGGATATATTCCCTATGCGTTTTAGTCAGATCAATAAAAGACACCGTTATGCTTATGGAAGCGTGCTGACAAACAGTAATTACAGAGCTGAGAATCATCTGTTCAGTCTTGAAAATAAAAGTTTTATTCCGCTCATAATAAAATGATTGCAGCATCAGAATGAGGAAGGAAAGGTAGAGTGAGGATAAATACAATTTTAGAAATGGTATAGACTTTGCAAATCACCACCTCTTCCATTGATAAATTTAGAATCTAGAGTTGATTTAGATATTGACACTGGTTCTCCAAGAGAAAGGTAAAATAAAAGCAATTGGACCCTTTAGAGCTTTTGTTTATGGCCTGTCTGGGCCCTTTGTTGTAACCCTGTCATGCCCTTATGCTGATTACCTTCTTGTAGAACAAGAAGTATTGACTAGAGAATGAATGATGTGTAGTCCCTAGCCCTTAGGAAACACTCTCAAAGAGCAATGTCTTTAACATATGAATTTTTTTAACATATGAATGTTTTTTTCCTCCTTTTCCCTTTCCCTTTCCCTTTCTCTATTTTTTCACCATCTCTTTTGTTTCTACCTCTTTTGGTGTCTGTGTTTGACACTCTCTCCTCTTTCTCTCTCTGTATCTCCCTCAATCTCAGGCTTCTCTGCAGAATGTCAAACAAAGATCGACACATTGATTCCAGCTGTTCGTCCTTCATCAAGACGGAACCTTCCAGCCCGGCCTCCCTGACGGACAGCGTCAACCACCACAGCCCTGGTGGCTCATCAGACGCCAGTGGGAGCTACAGTTCAACCATGAATGGCCATCAGAACGGACTTGACTCGCCACCTCTCTACCCTTCTGCTCCTATCCTGGGAGGTAATGGTCCTGTCAGGAAACTGTATGATGACTGCTCCAGCACCATCGTTGAAGATCCCCAGACCAAGTGTGAATACATGCTCAACTCGATGCCCAAGAGACTGTGTTTAGTGTGTGGTGACATCGCTTCTGGGTACCACTATGGGGTAGCGTCATGTGAAGCCTGCAAGGCGTTCTTCAAGAGGACAATTCAAGGTTAGTGTCGGACCTGGGAATACTCTCCCCACTTCCAACCTCACATGATGAGTTTTTGTTTTTCCTTATTCTTATTCTCATAAGTCAAGTACCATAGTTTTAATTGCCTCTCGAGTAGAAAATAGAAATAGATTACAATTGATAGTGGAAGATTTATAGACTAAAATCCCCCCAGATATACTCCATATCTATTAATTTTCCTCTTACTCTTAAGCTTTAATGATGCAAGGATAATAAACTTTGGGTAGAGTTTATAAGCGCATAGTTGTTATTAGAGCAATGTGGGTCTATAGAGCAACTGTACAAATGCACATTGGACTAACAGTGTTTTTGACCCCTTTGGATCTTCTTACAGATGCATGGAAATAAATACTTTAGACCAGTGATTTTCAAACTTGAGTGTGCATTAAAATCATCTTAAAATCGTGTTAAAATGTAGATTCCTGGGTCCTACCTCCAGAGTTTCTGATTCATTAGATCTGGAGTGGGGACCTGCCTGAGATTGTATATTTTAAATAAATTTTCAGGTAATGTTGATGATGCTGCCAGTCCAGAGACCAATTTTAAGAATCACTGCTCTAGACCAATTTAATTACCTACTCATCTTTCTTTTTTCCTTGTGGTTGGCTATACTTATTCTAACTTTTAAATGAATTTATGTAAAAAATTTCCAAATTATGCCAACAAAATGTCATTGAATGATAGAATGTACCTCCAACATATATAAGTGATATATACCCCAAACTTCATAGATTTCAGATTTATAAATAACATTATTTCCCCCATATAGTGTAGAAAAATAGGACTGAAATTTGTTTATGCCCTTTTAAACTGGTGATCTACAGATCTAGAATTTAGTTCATTAAAAAGCTATAGAGATATATATATATTCTGGCAAAAAAATTCACGTTTTTAGGTCTCTTGTGATTCACTTTTGAAGAAAATAGGGGAAGGAAAAACATATATTTTGAGGATCCACAGCTCACCAATGGTTCTGTTCAGTGGTTTATGAAATGTGTCTTCCTAACAACCAGTTATGGACACAAAGTCTATCTTCCCACATATCAGTGGTTCTCAAACTTGCCAGCTCATTGGAATCAGTGGAAGACTTAAAAAAACATGCTGATGCCAGGGCTCATGTCCCCAAATTCTGAATTAATTGGTCTTGGGTACAGCCAGGGAAAGGGGGATTTTTGAAAGCTTCCTAGGTGATGGTTAATGTAAAGGCAAAGTTAAGAACCACTGCACTGTACTGTGTTGTATTATTTGACAGCAGTTCTCAAAGCGCAGTGGCTGTACCAGCAGTACCAGCATCATCTGAGAAAATGTAAGAAATGCAAGTTCCCAGGCCCCATCCTGTATTAACTCAAACAGAATCTCTGGGTGTGGGTCTAGCAATCTGCATTTTACCAACCCTCTGTGTAATCCTGATGTAATTCAAATTTAGAACCACTGCTCTAGACCATGCTACTGCTGATTTACCACTGACCATAGACCATCATCATCTAATGGCCCCTTGTTGGGCAGAACTGAAACCAATGTATTTGGAGCCTTCATAATTTTGTGATGTACTAGTTTTCAAAGCACAAAAGAAGTAATGTTTGTTAAGTACTAATCCTTTTAAATATTTCCACAAAACATGATTCTGAAAACCCTTATGTGTACATAGAGCAGTCTCCCACCTTCCCCCTTTTTTTTCTTTTTTGTTTTTGAGGCAGATTTTTACTCTTGTGGCCTAGGCTAGAGTGCAATGGCATAATCTTGACTCACTGCAACCTCCATCTCCTGGGTTCAAGTGATTCTCTTGCCTCAGCTTCCCAAGTAGCTGGGATTACAGGCATGCACCAATACGGCCCACTAATTTTGTATTTTTAGCCGATACAAGGTTTCATCACATTGGTCAGACTGGTCTCGAACTCCTGACCTCACGTGATCCACCTGCCTCAGCCTCCCAAAGTGCTGGGATTACAGGCATGAGCCACTGCGCCCGGCCCCCCTTCCCTTTTAAGAGCATCTGGAAATCCAACTCTTCTCCATCAGTTGCACGAGCATTTTAGTGACAATCCCTAGTGGAATTGGTTGTACTGTCTCTCCCTTGCTTTTTTGTTGTCTGTTACATAACTTCCTTGATCTGTGGCTGATGAGAACACAATCAAAATGTTTACTTAGTCAGGTACAGTGGCTTATGCCTGTAATCCCACCACTTTGGGAAGCTGAGGCTGGAGGATCCCTAAGGCCAAAAGTTTAAAAGATTAATCTGGGCAACAAAGTAAGAATCCTATCTCTGTAAAAAATTTACAAATTAGTTGAGCATCGTGGCATGTGCCTGTAGTCCTGGTTACTGGAAAGGTTGAGGCAGAAGGATTGCTTGAGCCCAGGAATTGGAGGTTGCAGTGAGCCATGATTGCACTTCAGCCTGGGGTGATAGAGCTAGACACAGTCTCAAAAAAAAAAAAAAAAATGTTTACCCAAAGCACAATTTCTCAAGACATCATACTCTTACATAGTAGATGAGATACTTAATCCTAATCTTTTCATAGCCTTTCATAGTTGTAATGAAGAGCACAAAGCCAAGTTGTATGCAGTATATATGAATGCCCTAAATATCTTCATAGCTGTATCTTTATAATTTCTGGCTCAACATTGCTATATTTACTGATATTTTCTTACAAAAATCTTTAATTTACTGGATCTTTATTTTCTTTATCCTCATCTATAAGTTGAAGGCATTAACCTCAGAATACTTAAGTTTAAAATGAAATAGAAAATCACATGGAAAGCAAGTAAGCTAAAAACAATGGTGGTCTGTGCACAAGGCTTTTTATTACCTCTGGACATTTGAGAAATCTCTTCAGTCTATTTGGTACCACTGCAAAACTTGAGAATGAAAGCACACCTCATATCTTTGGGTGTTTACCAGCCATTGTTCAACAGTGTTGTAATCCTTATGGTTACAAAGTATATAAAATTTAAACTGTTATTAATTTGATTTTGTTAACTCAGTTTACACAGCTCTGCATGTAACTACACAAAGATAAGCAAATATTTTGGGATAAATTCAGGAGCACTGAGTGCACTGATACAAGCAAGAGGTTCTCGATGTGAAAACCACTCCCATTTATTCAACAAATATTTACCGAGAACCTACTGCGATTCAGACAGCAGGTTGGTTGGAGTGTCCTCTTATGCACATTTTATTAAAGCTTTGTTCCCAAAGGCTGTGGATTGAGATGAATTCCTCTAACAAATGTCTCCTGCCTTGAGGAAATACCAATGTTTAGGGTTTAGGGGATTAAACCCTCGAGTCTTTGGTATGTTTTGTAAAGATAGAATAACAATGTGAAAAAATTTCCTGATACATGTCTCAAAACATTTTATAGGTTAGACATTAATAGCTCTGCAGTAGTTACTTACTGAACAATAATTAGAATAGAGCAATTGGAATTCTATGCATGATTATTCTTTAGGATGCTGAAATGCTACCAAAAGCTTAACAGAGCAAAGCACAGGGTGATTCTTGGCATTGATGTATGTGCTCAGTTTTACTCCATATTGGAGAGAGCAAGTTTCAAGGATTTTGAGCAGAAGACAGAGATGTCACTGTCCAGATTAGCACTCTGGACTTGCCCACCTGGCTGTGCTTGTAGCTGGCAGCTGCGCAACACTTGGTGAGGCTACCCTGCTAGCTACATCATCAGGCATCACACTGTGGTGCTCACTTAGCCCCAAAAAGGCAGTGAGGCAAATAAAGGGATTAAATTGTGAAAGTATAATGTAATAATTAGAGCGGTAATTGTAAGGAAGATTGGAACGGCCCCTCCTTTCTGTGGCCAAATACAGTAGTGATAGCGGTTGAACTCCAAAGATGTTGAGTGTGGCCCAGACTCTTATTCCAATGCTGAAGCTGCCTTAGAGTTCATTCTCATGCCTTCAGACAGCATTGCAGCCAAACCACCCTTCACAGATCTTAGTCTCTCCCTCCCCTCCATTAAAGCTCTCTAAGGAAAAAGAAGAGATTATGTAACTCCTCTTGAAAACAAGTCTTTCTAGACTAGAGCCCCAGTGGCCAGGCCGTTACATAAATGTGACTCCTGCCTCACCAGGGCCTGATTCTACTCTCACTGACTTAAGGGACATGTGCATCCATAGGCATTTTCATGTACGCCATCATCTGTTAAGATCTTTCCTTTTTAATATATCTTCTTCTTATTATTTTTGAGACAGGGTCTCACTGTGTTGCCCAGGCAGTTGTACAGTGATGTGATCTTGGCTTACTGCAGCCTTAATCTCCTGGGCTCAAGTGATCCCTCCCCCTCAGCCTCCCAAGTAGTTGGATAATAGGCATGCACTACCAGGCCTCCCTAATTTTTCACTCTTCTGTAGAGATGGGATCTCCCTATGTTGCCCAGGCCGGTCTCAAACTTCTGGCCTCAAAAGATCCTCCTCCTCAGTCTCCCAAAGTGCTGGGATTACAGGCATGAGCCATCTTATTTCTTATTTTAACAATTTATTTTTAGGATTGGTTATCGAGTGTGTAATAAATATATAAGTTTAAAAAGTTGGGAAAAATACTTCTTAAACTTGGAACCAAAAGAACATCTATCCAGAACACATGTTGAGAAAAGTAATACAAATTGTTGTTTTCAGAGCTGAATGTGCTATTTCTGTTGTGAAAGACAATTAATCATGGATTTCAATGAAAGGTAAATAGAAAGGAATATTTTACTTATTGACTATTTTCAAGTTATCATTGAAAAACTATTGAATTAGGTCAGCATTTAGTTGCGTAGAAACCAAAGTTTTGCTTTTCTGTTTTTGTTTTCAGCTGACCAAAATTCTTTTTACAAAACTTTGACAGCTCTACCCTGTCATCCAACAGGGTTACAATGGCAGCAGCGATTTCATGTCATTTTTTAGGCATAGTAATTTTGGGGATGTGATATTGTTATTTTGATTTATTTTCCAATTCCAATTTTGGCCTTAATTCATAAATGAGTGGA